GGCTTTGGGGTTTAGGGTTTGGAGTTTGGGGTTCGGGCTGCTTGCTTCACTGTGGCAGCCGCAGCGCTGGACACTAGACCATGCCCCTGAAACCCCAAACCCTCGCATTGCTCAAAGCCTGCGGGCCCTCTTCCGAATGAACTGTGGTGAATCTCCGGTCGAAGGCGGTTCTGAGTAAGTGCGGTTTGTCAAAGGTCTGGCTTCGGATAGCAGAAGGACCGCATGAACTCCCCCCCGCTTTAGGGTTCAGGGCTTAGGGATGTTTGGGTTTTTTTGGTAATCCTAAACCGAAAACCGAAAACCCTAAACCCTAAACCCTAAATCCTAAACCCTAAACCCTAAACCCTAAACCCCCAAACCCTAAACCCTAAACCCTAAACCCTAAACCCTAAACCTCTCCTCGGCTTTCGGGTTCTTAGGGGCTTGCGGTGTAGGGTCGGTTCTCAGCTGCAAGCATCCTCCTGCTGAGGCTTCTGCAAAGAGTCGCATTCGAACGCGCTCGCTTTCAGCCGCTGTCTTGCATGAGTTTGGGGTTTGGGGTTTGGGGTTTGGGTTTGGGGTTTGGGGTTTGGTGTTTGGGGTTTGGAGTTTGTGTTTGGGGTTTGGGGTTTGGGGTTTAGGGTTGAGGGTTGAGGGCTTCGAGCTCGACATCTTGCGCTTTAAGTCTCACGTCTAACATGGAGCTTTTTAAGCTGCACTCTGCTGTAGCTTCAGATCCTCAGCCATTTTGGGCTTCATGGGCTTCTGAAGCCACAGTGCAGCCAGTTTCAGTTGTGAAATATACGGAACATAGTGCGTGCTTATAAATACTTATCAAAAACCCATTAAGGCGATACATGATGTGACTATGTCACTTATAAAAGTATTTGTATGAAGATGAACAAACTGTTCTTTGCCAAGATGCAAGTCGAAGGATCCGAGAGTCCTAGAGCTCGACATAGGGTTTATTCAGGGGTTTATTTAGGGTTTTATGAGGGTCTGCAGAGGGCTTTATAGGGTCTATCTAGGGTTCTATAGGGTTTATTAAGGATTTGTCTAGGGCTCATATAGGGTTCATTACTATAGGGCGTATATTGTTTTTTTTGTTTTTGTTTTTAGGGTATTCTAAGGGCTTCTGGAACCTGAACCCGAAGCCCTATAGTTTTTGTTGGCCCTAAACGCCCCTAAACCCTTCAACCCTTAAACCCTTCAACCCACGAAGCCCTAAAGCCCTAAAGCCTCGCACATGGGCCCTTTTTTGTGCCCCAAGCCCTAAACCCTAAGCCCTAAGGGTTTAGGGTTTAGGGTTTAGGGTTTAGGGTTTATGGTTTAGGGTTTAGGGTTTAGGGTTTAGCCCTAAACCCTAAACCGCAAGTTATGGTCCCTTTGGGGGGGGGGGGGGTGTTTGATGTTTACTACGCAGCCTTGTGATTAGGGCACCCCCATGAAGGGGCCCTTACGATTATCAACCCTATAGTCCCCAACCATAACTTGCGATTTAGGTTGAGGGTTTAGGGTTTAGGGTTTAGGGTTTAGGGTTTAGGGTTTAGGGTTTAGGGTTTAGGGTTTAGGGTTTAGGGTTTAGGGCCGCCACACAGAGAGCCCGCCGGTGCAAGCGCCTCTCTGAGGTGGGCCATGCCCACCCTGGTCGTGGGAGCCCGAGCTTCTTGTGGGGGAGTCCTAAACCCTAAACCCTAAACCCTAAACTCGAGAAGCCCTAGGAGCCTAAACCCTACTGCACTTCGCAGGGTTGAAATTGTGGGCTTAGGATTTGGGGCTGCTGGGCTCAGGACTTAGCGTGCGTTTTAGGGTTTTAGGGTTTTAGGGTTTAGAGTTTAGGGCTTAGGGTTTAGGGTTAATGTTTAGGGTTTAGGGGGCTCTTTCTTTTGTTCGGATGGGTCTGGGGACCGCAAGAAGCGAACCGGTCCAGACACCACAGTGTTCGCCATGCACGCGGGACGTGAAGCCAGGTATCAGACAGGGTTCAGGGTTCAGGGTTTAGGGTTTAGGGTTTAGGGTTTAGGGTTTAGGGTTTAGGGTTTAGACTTGAGGGTTTAGAGTTCACAGACCCTTCATCTGTACATAATTAGAGAGGCTCTCACTCTTATTCCAGGATCTGGAGTAGGCCCCCCTATTCCCGTTTAAGTTCGTCACGGGACGGAAGGAGGGACCCTTAGGGACCCTAGGGGTTCTTTAGGGGCTACTTAGGTGTATCGGGACTATATAAGGTATATGTCGGGACTATGTAAAGTATATGTAGGGAATATGTAAGGTATGTATAGGGGATTATAGGGGTGATATAGTACCCTGTACCCTAAACCCTAAACCCTAAACCCTAGGGGTGATATAGTACCCTGTACCCTAAACCCTAAACCCTAAACCCTAAACCCTAAACCCTAAACCCTAAACCCTAAACCCCCAAAAGATTCAGGGTCCCTTCCAGTGGTCCCTCCTTAATCCCCTTTTTAAGCTAGGTGTCCCCTGAGGAGGCCCTTGTCAAACCCAAAATGGCACCCGCGTTCCACTCGTCCACTCATGGGTTCCGCTGGGGTTTAGGGTTTAGGGTTTAGGGTTTAGGGTTTAGGGTTTAGGGTTTAGGGTCATAGGGCCCTAAACTCTACGCCCTGAAATTGCTCTTCACTGGAGCCTCGCGTTTGCGCGAGGCGGATACGAGGAGGAGACGCAAGATTGGCCTGTGCCCAGCAAAGAGTAGGGTCCCAGGTAGTGTGGAGATCTGGGGGCTCTTACGTCGACGACAGTTGTACATCAGAATTGCCTGAGTTTGCTTAGTTTTCATTCCCTAAAACCCTGAACCCTAAACCCTAAACCCTAAACCCTAAACCCTAAACCCTAAACCCTAAACCCTAATCAACCCTAAACCCGGATGTTGGTATCAACTTCTGGTTCTTCCACATTATTGCAGAGCTTGGGACTTTGTCTTGCTGACGTAGACAAGGTTTCGGGTTCTAAGGGTGAAGAACTTCAAGTCAAGGTTGAGGGTTTGGGTTTGGAGTGTCGAGTTGTGTGGCTTGGGGTCTTGAACCCTAAACCCTATATGGCTTGGGGCTTCCATGCATTGCTTGGGGGGTTGCTCAGGTCTTCCGCAAGACGTAAAGAGATGGCAAACTCCTCGCCTGAAGGGCTAAACCCTAAACCCTAAACCCTAAGCCCTAAACCCTAAACCCTAAACCCCTAAACCCTAAACCCTAAACCCTAAACCCTAAGCCCTAAGCCCTAAGCCCTAAACCCTAAACCCTGTTTGGTTTAACTCCTGTAGCTGCCCTGAATCTCCCAGTGACTGTCCCAGTGGACTTGGAGAGTGGCCCCTCATCATCCACTGCACTACAAGGAGGGGCCCCCTTAGTATACTAGCTGTAGTTAAGGGACTTATAACCTAGTCTAGGATCCTTATTCCCCAATTTAGGGCCCTTAAGGGGCCCCCCTACTATACTAGCTGTAGTTAAGGGACTTATAACCTAGTTTAGGGTCCTTATAACTCAATTTAGGGCCCTTATAAATCTACTTATAACTTAACCCAATTTAGGGCTCTTATAACTCTACTTATAACTTAGGGGGCTCCACCTTGTAGCTCTCATAGCAGGGTGCTCCCCTGTCAAGCAGGCAGCCCCCACTTTCGAGGGAACCAAGACTTGGTTGAGGGTTCAGGGTTCAGGGTTCAGGGTTTAGGGTTTAGGGTTTAGGGTTTAGGGTTTAGGGTTAAAGAAACTGTTTAGGGCTCGGTAGGGTGACCCTGAAGGTTTTATCCGGAGCACTGTATAACCCTATAAACTCTTCATGCGCCCTAAGCCATTCAAGCCTACACAAGAAGTACGTAGACGCCGTCTTGGTTCCCAGACTAGATCTCAAAGCACGCGTATCAGCCGGCAGCGGATCGATGATGATCACCATTGTTTTCTGGTTTGTAGGCTTTGGGGTTTAGGGCTTAGGCTTTAGGGGTTTGGGGGTTTAGGGCTCAATTATCAGCCTATCATCATCGTTTGTCCTGTCTACAGCTGTTTCACCCCCTCCATGTCCCAAAGGCCTTTGGATGTCTTCAATGATCGCCTCCCCGGTCATGGCAAAGGGAGGGGCGGCAAACAAGCCCCACACCGTACGGCAGGGACCTGAATGTCCTGTGTAATCCGTATAGTTCAGGGTTTATTTAGTGTTTAAAGCCCTAAATTGGGTTATAAGGACCCTAAATGAGGTTATAAGTCCCTTAACTACAGCTAGTATAGTAAGGGGGGCCCCTCCTTGTAGAACGAACACAACTACTAGCAAAAAAGGCTTCGACATGGAGGGCATCAATGCCCGACCCTACATCTTCGCTTTGCGTGCGTCATGCGCGCATCGCCATCAAGAAACAGTGGCGAGCCTATGAGTTCTTGGGGGTGGGTTTAGGGTTTAGGGTTTAGGGTTTAGGGTTTAGGGTTTAGGGTTTAGGGTTTAGGGTTTAGGGTTTAGGGTTTAGGGTTTAGGGTTTAGGGTTTAGGGTTCCAGGACCCAAAAACTTGGCCCCAAACCCTAAGCCTCATAGCTTACCATGAAGCCTAAAAGGGTGAATTTCTCATGTACCCTTCATAGCGATTGCTGCATTTGGGTAGGGTTTAGGGTTAGGGGTTATAGGGTTTGGGGTTTAGGGTTTGGGGTTTAGGGTTTAGGGTTAGGGTTTAGGGTTTCGGGTTTAATTAGGCTTTAGGGCTTCCGTCCTCGTAGCAAAGCCAGCCAAATTTTCGTGGAATTAGGGGTACAGGGAATAATCAGGTAGAGGCTCAGGGCAAGCGCAGTTTAGGTCTAGGTACCCTAAACCCTAAACCCTAAACCGTAAGTAGTGAGTTGGATACAAGTCGTATCCCCCAATGTAAACCCTGTAAGATCGGTGACATAGGGTAGGTACCCCTAGTACGACCCGCAGAGTCGAAGACGTCAGGCTTTTATGTGACTCTGAGATGGATTTTTCTTGGATTGCCTCAGTTTCCGTGTCAAGTCCTCCTCTAGAACCGGCGTATTAGATCAAGACCATGGCGCGCACCCGCTCGGCGATTCTGCGCGGCGCGGCCGCGGCCGCCGGGCTCTGCCTGGCCCTCCATGCCGTCCGCGCCTTCGTGGCTCCGCCCGCCGCCTCGGCGCGCACGGAGGAGCTGCGAGGCACGGCGGTGCACTCGGCGGTGCAGCTGGGCGCCACCCAGAGCCCGACCCTCGCGGCCTCGGCGGCCACCGCAGCGGCGGCTGCCCCGGGTGCCTTCTCCGGGTCCACGCTGCTGACGGCCGGGCTCTTCACGGCCCGCAGCATGGTCAGCGTCTGCGCGCAGGTGGCCCGGCACGCCAAGGCGCCCGTGAGCGAGTTCGGCGCTCCCAGCGGTGTCCGGAACTTTCAGGAGATGGCCCTCGGCTTCACCACCGACATCGCCAAGAACAACTTGGGCGAGTCCTTCTACAGGCCCTGGGTGCCCTTCGTGACGACCATCTTCCTCTTCATCTTCGTGAGCAACTGGTCCGGTGCCCTGATCCCTTGGAAGCTCTTTGAGATCCCGGCCGGTGAGTTGGCGGCGCCCACCAACAACATCAACACCACCGTCGCCCTCAGCCTCCTCACCTCCCTGGCCTACTTCGGAGGTGCTTTGCCTCTGGAACAGACCCCTAAACCCTAAACCCTAAACCCTAAACCCTAAACCCTAAACCCTAAACCCTAAACCCTAAACCCTAAACCCTAAACCCTAAACCCTAAACCCTAAAACCCTAAACCCTAAACCCCCCCCCCCCCCCCCCCTCATGTTGCAGGTGGCCTGGCCAAGAAGGGCCTCGGCTACTTCGCCCGCTACGTGAAGCCGACCCCGATCCTGCTGCCCCTCGCCCCTTCTCAGTGCTCAACTCACCAAACCCTAAACCCTAAACCCTAAACCCTAAACCCTAAACCCTAAACCCTAAACCCTAAGCCCTGAACCCTAAACCCTAAACCCTAAACCCACCCAGAGAAGGCCAAGGGTAAGGTTCCTGTATGAAGCTCTTTCAAAACCAAAAGGGTGCCCGTCTATTCCTAAGTTTCTCCGACCTCGAAATTCTGAAACACAAGATCATGGCATCTTTTGCAATATACCTGAGAATCTTATATCACTCCTTCGACAGCCACAGCCCACAAATTCGTAGGCTTTAGGGTTTCGGGTTTAGGGTTTGCCATCTAAACCCTATAGGCCCTACAACCTCTACGGCCTAAGCCCCAAACCCCCCCCCACCCCACCCCCTGCCCAAAAAACACAGAAGATATATACGATTCCGAGATGCATCATATACTGAATAGAATCAAATACACACGCATACATGTACACATATATATATATATATAATACGGAGAGAGAGAGAGAGAGAGAGAGCGACTCAGAGGAAAAGGGACGAAAGAGAGATCCTAACACCCAAATGCCCTTAGAGCCCCCCAAGTCTGCCAGGCCCATCAACATCCTTGAGGATTTCACGAAGCCGTCCGGGGCCAGCAGTTTGGGTTTAGGGTTTAGGGTTTAGGGTGTAGGGTTTAGGGTTTAGGGTTTAGGGTTTAGGGTTTAGGGTTAGAGGGTTTAGGATTCAGGGTTCGGGTGGCTCAGGGGCTGGTAAGGCTTTAGGCATTTTGGCTTTCAAGGTTCAGGGTCTACTGGGCTTATATATATATATATATATATATAGAGGGGTTGTGCAGAGGGTCAGGGTTAGGTACCTTGAGGTTGAGGGGCTTCCCGGCTAGGGTTTTCTGGACTTGCCACCCTACACCTGATTTTGGATTGTTTGAGAGGTTTGGGGTGAGAGCTCAGGGGGGAATGAAAAAGGGCTGCGACTCGGGCCAAACCACAAAGGCTTCTCTAGTGCAAAGTCGAACTTGTCACCCCTAAACTATCCCTAAACCTAAACCCTTAACCCTAAACTCCACCCTTTAAACCCCGTTTCCTACAAAAAAAAACTGACTTCTACACCCCCCAACCCCAAATCTAAACCCTAAACCCTATAGTCCCTTCACATTCTTACCCGAAAAGCCGAAACCCTACAAAACCCCAGCCCTAAACCCTTAACCCTTGACCCTAGAAGCGCTTTCAACCCGAATAGCGAGCTCTAAGGCTCCAAGGACCCTCCTACAGAGGGACTGGTACCTCCTAGCTGGGTGGGACTTTGCTACAACTCTATCACTTTATGAGTTTTGGGCTCCCTCTAATTTCATATTTAGGGACCTAAAAGTTAAACCTTGATTGGGGTGTTAAAGAGCAACCAAGCTAGGAAGGGGATCGTGGGTTGTTGATTCTGCGTGGGTTGGCTTCGTGACGCTCATCCAGGGGTTTTCGTGGCCCTTGCCTACAGGGTGGGGCCCCCTTACTATACTAACTGTAGTTAAGGGACTTATAACCTAACTTAGGGTCCTTATAACCCAATTTAGGGCCCTTATAACTCTACTTATAACTAGGGGGCCCCACCCTGTACAAAGGGCCCGCATTTTTTAGGTCTCTTCGGTTTCTTGGAAAGAGGTGCAGGATGCTAGGAAGGGATCTGGGGTCTCAGATCCTGGGGTTTAGGGTTTAGGGTTTAGGGTTTAGGGTTTAGGGTTTAGGGTTTAGGGTTTAGGGTTTAGGGTTTAGGGTTTAGGGTTTAGGGTTTAGGGTTTAGGGTTTAGGGCCCACGAGCCTTGGGGTAGTAGCAAGCTCTAAGGCTGTCTCTGAGCTTCCGACTCTTCGGAAACGTGGTGGCCGATGAGTTGACCGTGGGGGTGCGGGCCCCAGATCTGCGTGAGAAGTTTAGGGTTTAGGGTTTAGGGTTTAGGGTTTAGGGTTTAGGGTGCACCCTAAAATCCAAACTCTTTTAGGGCTTAGGGCTTTATAGGGTTTAGGGTTTATAAGGCTTGATCTTGAAACAACCCTAAGCCCCAAGCCAACCAACCCAAAGGGTGCGGAATGCTGGGTTTTGTTCCGGAGCATGTGCTCGAAGAAGTCCCTGACAAAGTACAACACCGCCAAAATGCTCTAAACAGCCCTAAACTTGGGATTGTCCCCTTATCCGAGCAGTCCTTGATAGGAATTAACCTATATATAGGGTGTACTAGAATCCCTATTGAGGACTGTTAGTATACGGGGGAACATCCCAGCAAAATCGCGCAAGCCTAAATGGGAGAAAGAGTCGCAAACCCTAAATCCCTAAATAGCCCCATGGGCCCCAAAAAAGGGGAGCAAAACCCTAACGAGCCCTGCGAGTCCAACCTTGGGTTTAGGGTTTAGGGTTTAGGGTTTGGGGTTTGGGGTTTGGGGTTTGGGGTTTGGGGTTTAAGGCGTGTAGGTGGTAGGGTGACACAGCGGACATGAATCCCTTACGAAGTCCCCAAAGGCCCCCAGCCCACACCCCCGAAACATGCGAACACGCTTAGAGGCACCCAACAAATCCTACAGCCGAAGCTTATCAACCCTAAACGGTAAACCGTAAACCCTAAACCTAAAGTTCATGGGCAGTTTTAGGCAGGGTTTTAAGTCTAAGGGGCTTACCACCCTAAATCCTGAACCCGAAGCCCTCAGCCCTAAGCCCTAAGCCCTATCCCCTAAGCCCTAAACCCTAAACCCCAAACCTTATTCTCACCATTGAGGCTCCTACATTAAGGCTCCTACATTAAGGCTGTCTCTGAGCTTCCGACTCTTCGGAAACGACCCTGAACCCTAAACCCGAAACCCTAAACCGAACTGCGTGTCTTTCGCGAGGTGCTCTGCTTCCTGGTGCCCTTTGTCATCCCGCTCCCGATTATGGGCCTGGGTCTCTTCGCCGGTTCCATCCAGGCCGGCTCGGCAGTGGGTTTAGGGTTTAGGGTTTAGGGTTTTTAAGGTTTAGGGCTTAGGGCCTGGGGTTTAGGGTTTAGGTTTGGGGTTTTGGGGGGGGGAAGGGTTTAGGGTTTAGGGTTGAGGGGCCAAGGGTTTAGGGTTTAGGGTTTAGGCCTCCGGGCTCAGGGTTCCCAGAGCAAGGCCTAAATGGGGCGGCAATCAAGGGGCCATTTGGGCCTTGCTTTGGTGGGGTTTAGGGTTTGGGGTCCAGTTGGGGCTTACCTGGGCTAGTTAGCCCTACACCCTGAACCCTGCTTTCAAAAACCCTAAGCCCTATAAACCCTATAAACCCTATAAACCCTATAAACCCTATAAACCCTATAAACCCTATAAACCCTATAAACCCTATAAGCCCTACAAACCCTACAAACCCTACAAACCCTAAACCCTAAACTCTAAACCCTAAACCCTATAAACCCTAAACCATCAAGCCTGGAGTCAAAAACTCGCCGAGCCCCTGCGTTCCAGGCGCTGATTTTCTCCACCTTGGCAGCGGCATACATCAAGGAGGCTCTCTTTTGTTTGGGAGGGAGGGAGGCGAGGAGTACGGGATTTAGGGTTATAGGGTTTAGGGTGCAGGGTGTAGGGTTTAATTAGGGTGTTCGTATTAGGTTCGTTGTTTCTGGTTGAAAATGCCCACAACTTCCCAAATTTTGGGGCTTGCAGTATCAAGACCTAAACCTTAAAAGCTGCAAACCATTTAGGCCTTACGGTTCTCCCCTGGACCCCTCAGGTTGTACCCTTTGTGTTTCGGGAACCTTTTTAAAATCCTCTAAGGGCCCCTACCCTACCCCCCCCCAAAAAAAAAAAAAAAAAAAAGAAAAGAAAAAAAAAACAAGAAAACAAGAAAAGAAGATCTTCTTCCTCATAGGGGCAGTATAGTTAGGGATGATTACCTTGTGTTTTTGAGGTTCTTAGGCGAATGGCCGCCAGCTAGCAGTATAGAGTTGAGGGCTTAGTGGTCGAGAGAGGTCAGACAGCAAGAGCTGCCGTTTGGGGTGTGGGATTTGTAGGGCTTAGGGTTTCGAGTTGGGGTTTAGGGTTTAGGGTTTAGGGTTTAGGGTTTAGGGTTTAGGGTTTAGGGTCTAGGGTCTAGGGTCTAGGGTCTAGGGTTTAGGGTTTAGGGTTTAGGGTTTAGGGTTTAGGGTTTAGGGTTTAGGGTTTAGGGTTTAGGGTTTAGGGGTAGGGTTTAGGTCAAAAGAAGCAAGCACCAGGCATTAGGGTCTCCAGGGTTTGGGCGCGATGCGGGCGAAGCCCTGCTCTGGATCCTAAACCCTAAACCCTAAACCCTAGCCCTAAACCCTAAACCCTAAACCCTAGCCCTAAACCCTAAACCCAGACCCCAAACCCCCTACTTGGAGGCTCACGGGAACCGATACATGGGGTTATAACTAGGGTAACAGCCCTAAACCCTAAATCCTAAACCCTAAACCCTTCAACTCTAAACCCTAAACCCTAAACAGGGCACCTAGAACCCTACTTATAAGTACCCATGAACCTTCAAGTAGACCTCCCAAGAAACATCCTGAACCCAGGTAACCAAAGTAACCCTAGGGCTCATCCGCAGCTCCCAAAAAATCCCTCATCCCTAAACCCTAAACCCTAAACCCTAAACCCTAAACCCTAAACCCTAAACCCTAAAACCCTACACCCTAAACCCTAAACCCTAAACCCTACAACCCTAAACCTTAAAACCCTAACACCCTAAACCACGAAGCAGGCCCTGGAGTGAAAGTGGCTGTGAGGCCCACACGGAGGACTGAGGGCGTCGGGGTTTGGGTTCGGTCTTAGGGCTTATGGGGCTTGATAAGGATGTAGGGTTTAGGGCTAGGGTTTAGGGTTTAGGGTTTAGGGTTTAGGGTTTAGGGTTTAGGCAGTTCAGGTTCCGCATGCTAGGGTTTGGGGGGATTCAGGTTTTGATTTGTACGACTTGTATCCAACTCACTACTTACGGTTTAGGGCTTAGGGCTTAGGGCTTAGGGCTTAGGGTTTAGGGTTTAGGGTTTAGGGTTTAGGGTTAGGATATAGGCTAGGGCTTAGGGCTTATAAAGTTTAGGGATGTTTTGGGCTGAGGGCGGTTTCGAACTACCATTTGCAGTTTGCAGAAGAACCACCGAAAAATCAAAGACAGTCGTCCCTGCATTGCAGAATATATTTCATGTTGTTCTTTCTTTTTTATTTTATTATTATTATTATTATTATTATTATTATTATTATTATTATTATTATTATTATTATTATTATATATATATATATATATTTTTTTTTTTTTTTTTTTGGCGGGGGGGGGGGGGGGGGTCCTTGGGCAACTGCAGAGCAGGTTTAGGGCATACGGGGTTTAGAAGGTTTTGGGCTTACGGGGGTTTAGAAGGCTCAGCGTTTAGGGCTTCGGGTTTGGGGCTGAGGGGTTTATGAGGTTTAGGGTCTGGGTTCAGGGTGCAGACGTGGTGTCCGTGGTTCATGGGTTTAGGGTTTAGGGTTTAGGGTTAGGGTTTAGGGTTTAGGGTTTAGGGTTTAGGGTTTAGGGTTTAGGGTTTAGGGTTTAGGGTTTAGGGTTTAGGGTTTAGGGTTTAGGGTTTAGGGGTTAGGGGTTAGGGGTTAGGGGTTAGGGGTTCAGAACAACAGAATTTGCGGGCTTACAGGGGGTTTAAGGTTTAGGCTTTTAGGCGCTTGCGGGAAGAGGAAGCGTAGGATGGCTCCATGTGTTCTAGCCCTGCAAAGTAGGCGGGACATAGTCATGAGGTGCTGGGAAGGCTCCCCTAAACCCTAAATCCTAAACCCTAAACCCTACACCCTACACCCTAAACCCTAAACTCCATGGGTTCTAGAGTGGTCATGCCTTTGAGTGGTCTGACTGAGGACACGAGGAGTTTTTTTCCAGGTGAGTGCCCGTTCGTGGAAAGAACGCATATCAACAACTCATGCAGGACGCAGGGCTCATAGTTAGTGATTACTACTTGCATTATTGCCGCTTTAAAGTTAATATCATCAGCGAGGAATTCTGCGTAACCCTGGCAGAGCGAGCCAAAAAGGCGGCAGAGCGGCTTCTTGTGTCAGCGTGCACGCCCTGCGTCGTGCAAAGCTTGCAGCGCATGCCACCGCGCAGAAGCTGATTTTTGATGTGTCTGTGAACATGGCTCAGCAGGGCGCAGGAGGACCTTAGTATTAATTAACAGACTCTAAGATATAGAGACCATGGCGCGCACCCGCTCGGCGATTCTGCGCGGCGCGGCCGCGGCCGCCGGGCTCTGCCTGGCCCTCCATGCCGCCCGCGCCTTCGTGGCTCCGCCCGCCGCCTCGGCGCGCACGGAGGAGCTGCGAGGCACGGCGGTGCACTCGGCGGTGCAGCTGGGCGCCACCCAGAGCCCGACCCTCGCGGCCTCGGCGGCCACCGCAGCGGCGGCTGCCCCGGGTGCCTTCTCCGGGTCCACGCTGCTGACGGCCGGGCTCTTCACGGCCCGCAGCATGGTCAGCGTCTGCGCGCAGGTGGCCCGGCACGCCAAGGCGCCCGTGAGCGAGTTCGGCGCCCCCAGCGGTGTCCGCAACTTTCAGGAGATGGCCCTCGGCTTCACCACCGACATCGCCAAGAACAACTTGGGCGAGTCCTTCTACAGGCCCTGGGTGCCCTTCGTGACGACCATCTTCCTCTTCATCTTCGTGAGCAACTGGTCCGGTGCCCTGATCCCTTGGAAGCTCTTTGAGATCCCCGCCGGTGAGTTGGCGGCGCCCACCAACAACATCAACACCACCGTCGCCCTCAGCCTTCTCACCTCCCTGGCCTACTTCGGAGGTGCCTTATGTTCCAAAGATATGCGCGCACCACGCTACGTACAAGACCCGCCTTGCAGGCGAACAAGTTCCCCCTCCCCCCCCTCCTCCCCCCTCCCCCCCCCCACGTGGCAGGTGGCCTGGCCAAGAAGGGCCTCGGCTACTTCGCCCGCTACGTGAAGCCGACCCCGATCCTGCTGCCCCTCGGCTCACCATGAGCATGCGACCTTGACCCTCAGCCCTAAACCTTAGTTAAACTCTGCGTGAGTCAGAAGGGCCACAAGCCGCAAGCCCTTAAGGTTTTAAGATTGGGGGGTTCAAGATCGAGGGTTTCGGGTTCAGGGTCTAGGGCCTAGGGTTTATAGGGTTTAGGGTTTAGGGAGGACCCGAATAGCGCCCCTGTATTTGGATCCTGATTTCTACTTCCTTTCTTTGATTGCTCAATATTCACGGTTGTCATTAGGAAAAATTGAACCCCTAAACCCTACGCCCCAAACCGAGAACCCTGTGGCCTGGCCTTGTGAATCCCAAAGCCCCACTGAGCGGCATTGAGCTTAAACCCAACCTTAGTTGCGAGTGTTTTTCAGAGGGCTGTAAGGGCCTGTGCCCTACAGGGTGGGGCCCCCTTACTATACTAACTTTAGTTAAGGGACATATAACCTAACTTAGGGTCCTCATAACCCAATTTAGGGCCCTTATAACTCTACTTATAACTAGGGGGCCCCACCCTGTAAGCCGAAACCCCCCAAACCCCAAATCCCAAACCCCAAACCCTAAACCTTCACGACTTGCGGTCTGCGAGGCCCTAAGCCTGTTGTTGGGTTAAACCGGTTCAACCTGCACCCTAAACACTAAACACTAAACATCAAACCCCAAACCCCAAACCCTAAACCCTAAACCCTAAACCCTAAGCCGGTTGTTGGGACTCAAAAGGGGCCCAAGCTACGCGGCTCAGGCCCATTAACATCCTGGAGGACTTCACCAAGCCGCCAGGAACTCGGATGGGTTCTCAAGGGCTTTGGAGCCCCAAACCCTACACCTAAACCCTAAACCCTAAACCCTAAACCGCTGGAGAGGAGCCGAAGGTGAACCAGCGGCACGTTGGGGTTCCCACTGTTGGGGGGTTTGGGGTTTAAGGTTTCGGGTTTCGGGTTTGGGGTTTGACGAGTATGCAATCCTCCGTTGCCGACGGATCCTGAAGCAACTGACTTGAGCAATTGCCCAAACCTCACGGTGGAGGTGTCATTCATGCCCCTGTCACGAGGGTTTCGGCTTTAGGTTCGAGGGTTTCGGGTTTAGGGTTTAAACAGTGTTTAGGGTTTAGGCTTTAGGGTTTAGGGTTTAGGGTTTAGGGCTAAGAGCTCATTCACGCTTAAAGGGGACCCTAACCCCAGCCAAGGCTGTCTCTGAGCTTCCGACTCTTCGGAAACGTCGTTGCGGATGAGCTGACAGTGGGAGTCCGGGCCCCCAGCTTGCGGGGGGCTCCCTAAACCCTAAAAACTCTAAACCCCAAACCCTAAACCCTAAACCCTGAACCCTGAACCCTGAACCCTGAACCCTAAACCTGAACCCTAACCCTAAACCCTAACCCTAAACCCTAAGGGTATTAGGGGATTAGGTTAGGGTTAGTAGGGTGTTAGGGCTTAGGGAGGGTTCAGGGGTTTGGATTTAGGGTATACAGTCAACAGGGTCCAGGGCTGCAAGGTTTGGGGTCTAGGGTTTAGGGCTTCAGGCTCAGGTTAGCCGAGTCGACCCTAGATGCGTTGGGTGTTCTGAAGAGCTATACGGACTTCGTGCATGATGCAGAGTTTCATTTTCATGTTCATAATCTTCGAAAGTTGTCTTTCTACTTCAGATTGAGTTTGATTCCCTCAGAAAGGCTTCATTTCAGGTACGAGAACTACACAACCTGTTCTGGGGGTGTGGAGCTTGTGTGGGTTGGGATCCTCAAATCTTTCAAAGAGTTCCCTGAGCTTTTCAACACCCCGTCCATAGGGCTCTCTTAATGTTTTCAGGCCCCAAGCCCTGCGCGGAACAGTGCTCAACCTTAGAACACACAATAAAAACCATAACAACCCGAAGCCGCGCCCTACAACCCCCACCCCCCCCCCCCCCCCCCCCCCCAAACCCTAAAGTTTTCAGGTTTAGGGTATAGGGTTTAAGGTTTCTGGCTTGATTTAGATGTTAGGTTTGTGGGTTTAGGGCCCCAGAACCCCCAAAGACAAACCCTAAACCCTAAACCCTAAACCCTGAACCCTAAACCCTAAACCCTAAACCCTAAACCCTAAACCCCGCGAAACGTTGCGTGCCTGTCGAGGTGCTGTGCTTCCTAGTGCCCTTCGTCATCCCGCTGCCTATCATGGGCCTGGGCCTTTTCGCCGGCTCCATCCAGGCCCAGTTTAGGGTTTAGGGTTTAGGGTTTAGGGTTTATAGGGTTTAGGGTTTAGGGTTTAGGGTGAAAGTTCTAGGGTAGAAAGAAGTAGGGTTCGAAGTCGGGCTGTCAGTGCCAAGCAATGCCGTAACCAGTCATAAATGAAGCTGCCCTACTTCCTCTTTTCACTACCCATGGACCTGCAAATAGGGAGTAGGGTTTAGAGTTTAGGGTCTGGGCGCACGCAAGCCTCCCCAAACCTAAAGCCCTAAACCCTGAGTCCTACAAACCCTAGAAAACCTAAACACTAAACCTACAAGCCTCATAAGCCCTGCCTAGAAGCCTCATAAGCTCTGTAAGCCCTAAACGCCAAATCCCCCAACTCCATAGACACTCAACCCTAAACCCATTTCCTGAACGTTCAGCCCGAAACCCCACACCCTCATCCTAAAAGCGCTGAACCCTAGGATGACCCAGACCTCGTAAACCCGAAACCCTTAACCCTATAACCCTAAACCCTAAACCTACCCTACCCTAAACCCTGAAACCCGAAAGAGCCCTACCAGCCCCATGAGCCCCCCAACCCTAAACCC